GACGCGACGGCGGTTGGGGACCGCGTGGTGAGGGCGCTGAAGCGCCTGCGTGCGGACTCGGACGCGGCGTCCGCGACGATGCGTGGCGCGAGGCTGCTGGAAGGCGCCGACGCCGAGCCTCTTCTGTCGCAGTGCCGCCAGATGGCGAGCGAAATGGAGGCGCTCCGTGCGAGCGAGCAGCGCCACCGCGCGCTGGTGGGCGAGGACGTGGGAGGCGCCCGCGCCGCGGAAAGCGAGGATCCGTCCACGCGCGCGCAGTGCCTGCGCGGCATCGAGTCCGCGCTGGCTGCCCTCGGCGCGGAGGACGTCGACGAGCCCGCAGCAGCAGCCATTATGCGGGCGGCGGAGGACGCTAGGGCGCGCGAGGAGGAAATGCACGAGCGGCTGAACGAGGCTGCCGCACGCGAGGAGGAAATGCGCGAGCGGCTGGACGAGGCTGCCGCACGCGAGGAGGAAATGCGCGAGCGGCTGGACGAGGCTGCCGCACGCGAGCGTGCGCTGGAGTGTAAGCTGAGCGAGCTTGGCGAGGCCGCGGACGCCCTGCAGCGTGCGCTGGACGGCAACGCGCTGGCTGTGGCGGGGGAGGAGGACGCGACGGCGGTTGGGGACCGCGTGGTGAGGCGCTGAAGCGCCTGCGTGCGGACTCGGACGCGGCGTCCGCGACGATGCGTGGCGCGAGGCTGCTGGAAGGCGCCGACGCCGAGCCTCTTCTGTCGCAGTGCCGCCAGATGGCGAGCGAAATGGAGGCGCTCCGTGCGAGCGAGCAGCGCCACCGCGCGCTGGTGGGCGAGGACGTGGGAGGCGCCCGCGCCGCGGAAAGCGAGGATCCGTCCACGCGCGCGCAGTGCCTGCGCGGCATCGAGTCCGCGCTGGCTGCCCTCGGCGCGGAGGACGTCGACGAGCCCGCAGCAGCAGCCATTATGCGGGCGGCGGAGGACGCTAGGGCGCGCGAGGAGGAAATGCACGAGCGGCTGAACGAGGCTGCCGCACGCGAGGAGGAAATGCGCGAGCGGCTGGACGAGGCTGCCGCACGCGAGGAGGAAATGCACGAGCGGCTGGACGAGGCTGCCGCACGCGAGGAGGAACTGCGCGAGCGGCTGGACGAGGCTGCCGCACGCGAGGAGGAAATGCACGAGCGGCTGGCGAGGCTGCCGCACGCGAGGAGGAACTGCGCGAGCGGCTGGCGAGGCTGCCGC